AGGGAAAGAAAGCACATTGGAGGTTCTGATCCAAGAGTTTCTATGGTATTTAAGCAATTTGTTTAAAAATTATGAAATCTTGCGGTTGGGTTAATAAAATTTGATTAAAATAAAACTAATAACAATTACCTGTATCATACATTAAAAGGAACAAAAATTATCATATCAAACACACATTATAAATATCCCACAATTACTGTATCAAGTAAGAAGCAAAGATGAAACTCAAATTATCAATTTGCAACCAGTGATTTTGCAATAAGGATGATATAGCATTAAAGCAAGTGTCTGGTAAATTTGGGGAAAAATAACTATTTTGTGGGATTTTCCAATGCTGTACTCATCACACATTTATCAAATATGTTCTTTGTGCTGAAAAGCTGTGGTTCAATATAACAATATCTTTACGTTAAACATAGGTTACAAGAGAGCATTAAGTATATACCTGATATTTCTGGAATTCTCTCAAATAGCTTTGGTCAATCTAATAAACAAGTATTTCTGAAAACATTCTTGGACTTATATATGACTTCTCATTTAAAAATAACATACTTTTTTCTATGATTAATTTTATCAAATATTACTCTTGCTTATGGAATTCTTTTTTTTTTTTTTTTTTTTTTAAACTCTGTTGGACATCACTATAAGTGAATTCATGGCCAGGTAACTTTAACTTTGTTAAAGAAATCTGATGCTTTGTTGATCTTGAACCCACAGTGTAGAGCACATTACTAACCTCCTAAAATAAATGAATAAAATACAGCCTGCACCAGAGATCAATTTCTGGAAATCCGATGAATATCTCCTTACTTAAATCTTTGCTTTTACAGAAAGCATGACAGGAAAAGCTCAAGCACCAATATTAATACTACATCCTAATTCCTGATTTGGGCATATGCAATGTCTCTTTAGAATATGTCAATGATTAAAGTTAAGTATGGTAGAATGTTTCCTCTTCTAAATAGGATCTGCTGTAGCAATTACTATGATGCATATGAAAAAAAAAGAAATGATCATTTTAAAGATTCTTTAAATGACTATATAATTTTAAAGTACTTGACAGAATTTGATACATATTACCCTGGATGCTAAAAGATTCCAAGTTCTCTTCCACAAGCTAGATCTAATGCACAGCATTAACTGAAATTACAAATTAATTTGAAATATTCACTTTTAGCATATTTATTACACTTTGTTTTATTAATGCAGGATATTATAGCTTTGGTCTATAATGGGGGCCTGATAAGCATAGTTGAGATTACAGATTTAGGTGATGGGGCCTGATAAGCATAGTTGAGATTACAGATTTAGGTGAAATTACCTAAACCTCACCTAAAGATTGAAAAATCTTGAGACCTTGCTGAGCAGCCAAAGGTAGCAGTGGACCTGGGGGAGTAACAGGATATCCTTGTATGGCACCCTACTTCCTCTGTGAGTTCTTTTTGGAACCAACATTGCTTATTGTTTGTTAACATCAATTACTCGTTACTGTATGTATTCATTTGTTCAAATGTATTAAGTATTGACCATGTATCAGGAATTCTGTGCTGTAACTACCCCAAATCTTCTCTTCCATTGCAGTAGACAGGTAGTATGTAAATGAGCCAATGGGTCAACCAGGGTTTTGTTGATAGGTGGGTTTTTTTTAATGTAATAATGTTATTGATTTTAAGGTTCAATTTAAATGTCTCTCTGAGTACTCTCTAATCTCTTTACCTGTCCCAATGAACAAGACATCATATTGGCCATCCTCGGCTTCCACTCGATCCACTGCTATTTGTTTCAGGTTATACTTTCCATCTGTTTTCACCAGTATTGGTTTTTTATGGGCAGGTTTTATGGGCTGGTACATAAGTGGATGGCTTCTTGCAAATCTGATGGCATCATCAGGGTAGTCTTTGGTGGTTCCGTACCTCCCTCCATTCACTTTGCTGGCACACTGAAATACAAACAGATGAGAGAATTTTTTTCCCCTGAAATCTATAGAGCAAATTTATACTCAATTATGAAAAAAGTTACAAAAACTGGGTATGTTCAGTTAATCAACTGTGCATTTAGCAATATTTAGTAACCATACATTCTTCATTACAGAAATAAAATCTGCATTAAAAATTGCATAGAGAGACTGAATTATTTCAAACATGCAGCAGTAGAAATAGACAGACAGTAGTGAAATACTGAAAAAGTAAAGTATATGTAATACTGGTATAGTCTGGAGGTAATACAAATGTATAACATTATAAATATTCTAATTATTTTTCCTGCTTCTAAACTTTATTTTTCATATTTGTAAATTAAATTTTAATTTGCTATGAACAATATATTGTTTATAGCAAAACAAAGAGACTCTTTATTGTGCTAAATCTTCCCCCCAAATTAGGAATCATAACCGCACAACAGCTTTCTCATTATTGATACTATGATTGGTGATGGTTCCAATTGGCTCACTGACTACAGAATTTTAGTGCTGAACATTGAAACCTATTCAAATTCCATCGTTGTTAAATAAGGAAAAAACCCTCTCTGTTCTACTGTAATCTGTATGAATTTATATTATTTTTGTATGAATTAGACACAATAAATTGAGAAAACAAGAAATATTTGCCATAACATGTCTCAATTCTTAAATCACTGACTCTAAAAATAAATGTTCAACGGTACCTAAGTTACTTCTTGGAATACCTTTAACTGCGTTGATTCATGCTTGTTATTAAGTGCTCCCTCATTTCACATATTTTCCTCCAGAACCAGCAGCAATTGCAATGATGACCTTGATAAAAATTTTCCACTTCAGAGTATAAATACAGTAGTTTAGTAATCAGATTCTGCAAAGAGGGCATTTTTAATGGTTTGTTTTAAAAATTTGGGCCATATTTCTTAATTTGGCATGAATTTTTCACTTGAGTGTACTTTCATGATATATAATTGGAAACATTTTTGGACCAGCCTGGAAGCAGTTCAGTAACCAGTCACTTCCTCCAAATCTCCTTTAATACCATGTGGTTTCAAGAAGCATTTCCAGCAAAGCCACAGGAGTGGGTTTTCTCCATTTAAATTGTAATTTCAATCAATAGAGTGAAATAAAATATACTTTATGTCTTACTGGAAGTAATAATTTTAAGCTAGTGAGAGAGAGTGATTGAAATGGTAAAACCTTACACTTGTTAACGTAGGTAAGCTTTGTTTCCACTTTGAATTTTGGCTCTGCAAAAATGGTTTCTACTCGACTTGCAAGCACTTGTGGAATTAGCCTAGTGTTGGGTTTTCACCAGCTGCTCATAATAGTGTGGACCGTGACTTGAATGACAAGTTCAGTATTTGTTCTCCATGGACAGCAGATACAATGATGCTACACTTTCCCAACCTAGTTGTGTATGGGACATATGATACAAAATCATCCTAATCATAATCATCATCCTGTGTGCAATTAAAAGCACAAGGTTTGAATGGCTAGTCAGGGAGAATCTTAGTAGTATCAGTTAAGAGGCAAATGGTGGAACTCCTTATTCTCTAGCAACACAGCTGTATTGTCACTTTTCTTCCAGAAAGCCAGCAAGGATGGCAAATGGGGTGCTCAGAATTCTGAAGAGCCAGAGAAAAAGCTTCCTCTTGACATGTTAAAGTGAGAAGTAGGGAGAAAATGTGGCCTAGGGAACTGAGAGCCTGACTCAAATATTATAATATAAAAATTTGGTAACATTCTCTTGCATGGAAATCACATGTGGCACTAATTCTTCTGAAGAGGCTGAGAGGAATATAATGCTCACTGGATATTTCTGTATTCACCAGTACCCTTAAAAATAAAATTTTAGTGAGAGCTACACAGATAGCTAAAATATCAACAATAATATATAGTCTATAATGCTAGATTATATTCTTTTTATTAAATAACAAGCATACATCTTGATGTAAGAAGTAATATTTCTTTACCTTGCAAGTAATCAAGCATATTTTTAGGTACTGAATTTAACTATTTCATGCTAATTTAGTAAAGCATCTGAAACAATGAACAGAATATTACTAAAAGAGTCTTTAAAAAATAAGAATACTTTGTTAAATGCCTAAACTTACAGAACCAGGTCTTGGATAAGGGACTTTTCCTTCATAGAGTGACCAGTGGTATTCAGGTCCTTCCTTATGTGCATATGGCCCATTAAAGGCTGCCCGGATACTGGACATGTGATAGACACATATAGCATGCCCTCTAAATATATTACTGAAAAAACAAAAAAGATAAATTACTATTCTGGAACAGACTAGGAGGTCACCGAGTCAAGCCCTGCAGACAACATAGATAAGGATGAAGTCTTTTGGATAAAAGACTTGCAATCTCTTAAGCATAGGATATTCTAGAGATATTAACTATTGCAATATTTCAAGTATGGAAACTCCAAAATTTACAATTTTTGGCCTAGTTATTATAATAAATTGAAAACGACATTGTTAGAATCACAAAAGCAGTTGTGTCACTTCATTTTTTCCAGTTAAATCTTATTTTTTTATTGAAGTATAGTTGATTTACAATGCTGTGTTAGTTTCAGGTGTACAGCACAGTGATTCAGTTTATATACACACACACACACACACACACACACACACATATATACATATATACACACACACATATTCTTTTTCAGATTCTTTTGTGTTTTTATATTTTTTATTAATATTTGGCCTTGGGCTTCCCTGGTGGCGCAGTGGTTGAGAGTCCGCCTGCCGATGCAGGGGATGCGGGTTCGTGCCCCGGTCTGGGAAGATCCCACATGCCGCGGAGCGGCTGGGCCCGTGAGCCATGGCCGCTGAGCCTGCGCGTCCGGAGCCTGTGCTCCGCAACGGGAGAGGCCACAACAGTGAGAGGCCCACATACCGCAAAAAAAATACCGCAAAAAAAAAAAAAAAAAAAAAAAAAAAAAAAAAATATTTGGCCTTAATATTTTAAAGATTCATTCCCAAGTTGAGGAAGGCTTTATCTCCTTGTACGTTGTCCTCTTTTCCAAGTAGACAGTGTTTTCCTATTCACCATGCTGTTAATATTGCTATAAATTTTATTCAAATTTTATTACTTCTCTTAGTGTATATGATTTGAAGAACAATTTAAAGTCTAAAGAAAATCTGGGGCTTTGTTTCATTCTTTAGCTTGGGGTCACGGAAACATTAATAAGCGTGCTGTATATTCCTTCCTTCAGGTCACTGAAAAGTGCTACAGTGGAAAAGTTTACTGGGCTGCATCAGATTAATTTTGAGAAAAAGACTTACATTCTACAAAACTCAGATTCTTTACCTGCAGAACTACTAGCAACTGAAATTATTTTTTTGATAAAAATTTCTACTTGTCGCAGATAAAGACAGTAGTTGACTAACTACAGCAAGCTTTATTGGGGGCATAAGATTCTGAAAAAGGACATTTTAGAATGATTTGTTTTAAAGATCTGGCTGCATTTCTTAATTTGGCATAATCTGAATGAATTCTAACACTTCCCTAGCCTCTTTATTGTGAGAATTAAAATAATTAGTTTGTGAAAGTGCTTTGCAAAATGCAAAGTTTTTTGTAAGTGTAACATTTCCTACATTCTGAGACACCCGTAGAACAGCAGTTATGTTACTGTCTGAGGACATCAATTCACACATCTTATAACACACCTTGAAGCAATTGGAAATGCCTGCAACAGTGAGAAAACCAGAGATAGTCTTCCAACTAACATGGCAATAAACCTTTGATCACCATGCTACGATATCAACCTTTATGTCAGGTAACAGCTGGCAAGCCGTTTTCTCACAATTATGTATAAATTGAACAGTCAAGATTGAAATTACGGAAGAAAATAATGTCTTGCCTTTGAAATCTCAGACAGATCCATTATGCTATCATTTATGAAAGCAGCTTATAAGCTGATCATAAGGCCATGGATTTATCATGCACTGTATAAATTCTTCACTGGCATAAAGCAGAAGATGAAGTGTAAAAAGAAGTTAGGGATTTTCCATGAACTGTAATAGCTACCAATGTACATTAACATCTCCTTGCATCAAGGAATAACTGATAGCAAAACTGTTTCCATGTTTCTGTGCTGAAGAAAAGGTCTCCTTACAATAGCAGGATACTTACTAAAAGAGCTTTATTATTTTTTTTCAAAGTGGGCATAATAAACTACCTGCTGAAAAAGTAAACAAAACTATGTGGAGAGATCCTAAGCAAACAAGGTATACATGACTATAGAACAGTTTAAGGCCAATGCAATGCAAACGAGGAATTGAGTAATACCATTCTTTTCCTGTTAAGAGAACTGAAGTATATTCTTTATTTCTCATTCCAGTCATATCATCTCCACTCTGCCTTATTTGGAAAGACACTCAGGAAATTATATACATAAACTTTCAACCAAAACTGATTCTAATAACATTTTTTCATTCATGTATCAACACACGAAATATTTGACTCATTTTTCCAGCACTCTTCAATGGATACAAAATACAAAAGCATAAAAGAGAAAAATACTAGATCATAAGCCCTAAACTTGAGCACCTTTTTAAAATTTAAAACTCAGAGGGTAAATCATAAATGTGTGTTCTCTAAGGATCTACATAGGACCAAGACAACCAGAGTAAAGAAGTGAGCCAAATGCTCTGGGATTAAGGAATCAAGGAGTGTTTCATGAAGATGGCAATTGACAAGTATTGGAAAAACTGATATAAATCTGTTAGAAGGGAAAGTAGACAAATAAAATCACAGTCACGGGGAAAGCAGACACTGGGATTCTGACAAGGTATTATCTTGTCAAAAGCAGAGTTTGTGGGAATTTAGAGGAAAAACTTTCAATCCTGAATGGGGAATACTTAATAGAGAGCCTTGAAAGCCTGACTTGGACATTTGTATATGATGACTGAAAGAATTATCCTAGACTCTATAGCATGGAACTAGTACCTTAAAAAGTGTATGAGAAAAAAAAAAATCATTCTGTTGTAGATCAGAGAGGGAGGAACTTAGGACATTGAGCATAGGAGGATGCTGGTACTTCAGACAAAAACAAATAAGGATCTGGATTGAGATTGTGGCTTTAAACATCAAAGTACAACTGCAAACACAGGAGAACGAAGAGAAATTGGTGACTTATAAAGTATAGAAAGTGAGAATGACTCATTGGTCAATAGTATTTTCAATTGCACATACGGTGAAGGGGTTTGGCATCCTTTGTTTCATGATGTTTTGACTGGCCATATAAATTTCTCACCTGGTAGTGTTGAAGAGTCCAAATATCACTGGGTTCTTATGATCTCTGGTATGCAGCAAAAAAACATCCTCTGAAACATTAAAGACCATTATGTTACTTAATATGTTTAGCCCTTGTTGCATGTGAAGAAAATATATTGACATAAAATAGTTTAGAACCCATGATAGATTTTAAGATATAAATTTCCATATACAGTCATATAACAATGACCAAATCACAACACAGTGAGGCTGATGACTGTTCAAGATGACTGTGAGCTGGGCCTCAAGGAGGGAACTAGAGGCGCCGACTCTAAACTAACAAGAGGGGTCTTTCTGTTCCCGCAACTCCCTTGTCCCCACACGTGGACCTGGCCAAGATAAAAAGAATAGAAACTCGCTCTAAGTTAGATAGAAGTCAATTACTGCAGAAAGCAAAATTTCCATATGTGCTAGAAACAGTGAGAGTTATACAAAGAAGCATATATATCGAAGAGGAAAATTTAGCTCTCCTGATAATATTTACCTAATTCATCAAAATATGTATCAATTCCATTCATTCCTGGTACTGAGCAAACCAGTCTAGCTTTCAGGAAAGTACTCCACTTGTTCACTAGGATTCTCTGTCCTCCTACATCGTTCTGTAAAAAACAGAAAGCAGGGAAATGGGTACCCAGAGAACTTTTACCAACAACAGATTTTGTAGTATTAAACCTGCAGATGGCAAGAGTTACAGTTCTTTTATTTAATGTGAAAATTTGAGCATAATCTTCAAATAATATTAAAGATGCAAATGCCCCATAAACTTTGTCTTTAGGTTTGCACATTCTGCCTTGTCAGTGTACTTTCACCCTGGCCCATTAAATACAGTTTCCAGATATTAAACAACGTTAGTAGAGAGTAGAGTACACTTTCCTAAATAAAGTAGTAAGCTTTATGATACAGTAACGTTCATTATTATTTTATTGATAAATAATCTGCTTATCTCAGAAGTACAGAAGCATCCACTTCTTTTTCTCATTTTAGGGAAAAAGGCTTGAAATACTAACACACAAGCACATAACAGGCATACATATTTGCACACATACACAAAATACGTATGGGTGTATATGTGAATATATATACACATACGTATATACTGAACATACATATAAACATCTTCTAAAATTTATTCAAGTATCTTCTTAAATATCAAAATAACTTCACATTTATAACACTATTAGCATTCTCTCAATATACATGGCTACTGCAGTTGGTTCTGAATGTTCACAAAACAACCTATCTGACTATGCCCAACAAAACTATATATGTTTTTCCTACGGAATCAACCATCTGAATTGTTGAAACATGCTTATGTAAATTATTTAGAATGTGGATTAAAGAAACTAGCAAGATTTTGGTGAAATTAACTTTTTAAAATGGAGCTCAAACTTCTGTGTAGGAAGAAGTATAGCCTAATTATAGGCCATTTCTTAGTAGGGCTTTGAAAATGGAGAAAATCACACAAAATGCAAAGCTCTTTTCAGATTAAACTTTCAGTAGATAGGAAGTCTGAAGACTAGATAGTAAATACCAATTTTAGGGAGCCTAACAGAATAGAAGAAAATATTTTACAGTAGAAACCTACTATAAAATGAACAAAGGCCTGACCATAAATTGCGAGTTAGGCAAGCTTAGTGAGAGAGGAAGGCGGTCCTCACCACGCAGAGTCGCCCCACTCTGGTGTAAATTGCCTGGGCATTGTTTTCTGCCTCCAGGGCCTTCTCCGTAAAAAAGAAATACACTTTGTTGTCATCTCGGTCTTCATTGTCAGGGATCATGTACGAACCTACAAATTTTGGTTCTAGAGAAGTAAAAAACAGACGAAAATGTAGTAACTATTACAACAAGGTAAGTTAATATATTTCCCCTGAAATTTTGTACTAAACATTAAAATCATGTAGCTATCTCCATATTCTGTGCAAATCAACAATTTTTTTTTTTTTTTTTTTTTTTTGTGGTCGGGGGCCCTCTCCCGCGGCGGAGCACAAGCTCCGGTCGCGCAGGCTCAGCAGCCATGGCTCACGGGCCCAGCCGCTCTGCGGCATGTGGGGTCTTCCCGGATACGAACCCGTGTCCCCTGCATCGGCAGGAGGACTCTCAACCACTGCGCCACCAGGGAAGCCCCAAATCAACAATTTTTAAGAAATGTTAGGGTATTTAAAATTTAAATGAGTTGGAGGGAAATAAATCAATTTCAAATAGCATACATTATAGACCTGAAATGAATTCAAAGAACAGATTAAGAGCACCATGATTATAATCTCCATGAATTTCCTCCCATGTATATATGGGAGGCATATATTAAAGTCAATATATGTAAAATATTTTAGTAAAGAAGTCTATCATTATTTTTTTAATTCATAAATTATCTATCAGTCCAGCTCATGGAAGACCAGTTTAAGTTTTTGTATTTGTAATCAAAGGGATCTGAGGGGATGACCTTTGACTGATATGGAATGTCAAATATTTTAATGATAAAATGCTGCCAATAATGATTATGCACTCTAAAGCTTAATAAAAAGGCTGAAAATAATGAAACCACGCACTATAAAATGATTTTAGCCCCTAGATATACCAATGTGCCAAAATATAAACATGATTCCTTACAAAGGATTCTATGTAAATGAATGCCTAGTGATTCTCCTAGAATTTCATTTGTCTCTCAAGTACAATGTGATCCCATTAAAACAAGCAAAGCAAAGCAATCAATTCATGCAAAATTATACCAACTGACAAGAGAAAACAAAGCAACTTATTGGATGAAAGGGGTTTTCACTTTTCATATATTTGTCTTGTTCATTTAAGTCCTAATTTCTAACTATTGCTATGAGGGTAATCTGGTTGTATACTAAAGCTGATCCACTCTGCTATAAAATGATATACATATATCATATATAATATTTTAATTCGGGAATATTGCTAAGGAAAAACCCCCTGAAATTTCTGAAAACTATAAATTACATTTGTATTGTTATCATTATCAAAATGGCAAGTTTCCCAAGAGCTCTGGCCTTGCTTTCAGTTCTGATTTACATATGCTTTTCTCCTTAATCCTACCTTTCAACAGGCGCTCGTCATCGTGCTCAGTGCGGATATAAGCCAGTCGCCCCAGGCTCCTGAAAATGGCAGCGTCTCTGCCCCAGTAGTCACTGTAGAGTCCAGCAAACAATTCACTACCTGCATGAAAACATCAGATAAGTCAGTATTCGTTTCTGGGTCTGATGACAATGTATAAAACCACAATTACAATAAACATATCCAGGTTTCTCGTGTATACGGCCTAACGAAACAGATACTACTGCTAAGAGCATATATGGTACAGTCAGATGGCCAGGGTTTGAATTGTGACTCTGCCACTTACTAGATGTGTGAACTTGAGCAAATTGCTTAACCTCTCTGCGCCTCAGTTTCCACATTTACAAATAGGGGAATAGCACTCAGAAGTGTTGTTAAGAGTAAAGCATTTAGAAGAGTAGCTGGTATATACTAAGGCCTACATGAGTATTTGATAAATAACCTGGCTTTATGGTATTTTAATAAACTTCTTTTAACCTTCATATCATCAGGGTATTAGTATTAGGACTGGTATTATATGTGAGTCAGCTAACTCAAATTCTTGTTGTAGTAAGAAATTGCTTCCATCAACATGATTTTAAGGCAGGAACCAGAAAGTCTGACAAAGCTGTATATAATCCAATTAGTTGTCATTTAATTTGTAAGCGTGTGGCTTATTTAGACAGAAATGACAGAAAGAGCTCATAATTTAATCAGGCAGTCAACAGAACGAATGAAGTTAGCTGCAACATGTGGTGAAGGCCACAGACTTAAATCAGACTAAGGAATACACAAACGTATGCAGGATCTCAAGCCATGGCAACATATCTTTGGGGCCAGCCAGAAAGAAAGACATTAAAATTGCTCACGAGAAGAGAAAAAACAATTAACAAAAAGAAAAATAACATAATGATATAACTAGACCTCCAGAAAGACCAAAACCTCTCAAGCACAGGAACTTGGGGTTCTCTTTTGTCAAACTGACAACAAAAGGTAACTGGTGTGCTCCTCAGTGAGGCCAGAAGGATTGTCCTGGGCATATGAGGCTCGAACCCTGTCCTGGGCTAAAATCTCTGGCCAAGAAGCAGATGATAGCAACAGATCACTGGATAAAGCAACCTCAATTTAGGGTGACAAAATTATTTTCTTAATGAGTGTCATGTAACTGTGATCAGGTTTCAAAATATCGACATGATGAGTATACTAAAAGTATACTCAAAGTATTAATGCCCTTCTGTTACATCTGGAACGTGTACATATGTGTCCAAGTGGTATTTAAAGTGCTTTTTTTAAGAGAATTCAAATTAATTGGATTTCCAATTTAATAAATTTAACTGTATACTCAATTTTAGAATTAGAATTATTAAAGTTACAGGTATAAAAATTTGACCAAGTATCTAAACAGAATTAAACAAAACTTGAGTGTCATATTTATAAATTTTATTGATTAGATTTAAAAATTGTTTCAATATTTATGACGGGTTTTCTCTAAGGTAAGGTCTTAAAAACTTGAACAGATTAAATATATCTGTATGGTTTAAACTTTGAGAAAGTAATCAACTGAGTTGTAAACAGGATCACTGTTAAGAAGTTTATTTCCACCTTGAGATAACTAACAATTTTTCAAAAGTAAAGATGATTGTTTTTGTTAGATTTAGATTTAGAAAAAGAAAAGTGAGATATAAATTGAATTTAAAAACAAGAAAACTAAGTTTTGATAAATGTTACTATAATAAACTATTCTTCATTTACAAAAAGACAAGTAACCATAAATGGTTTTTTTGGTTCACAAAACCCACTATGGGTACTTAAAAACTATACAAGATACAAATAAATAAAATCCAGGTCTTACACAAAGGAATTCACTTTTAAACTATTTAAACTATATATTATATAAGTGAGAAAGAGAGAAAGAGACAGACAGGAGAGACAGAGGCAAATGTGGTAGAATATTAGCAGTTGGTGGGTCAAGGTAAATGCTATAAATTTTTTACTCCTCTTTCTTTGTATTTGAAAATTTTCAAGACAACAAATTAAAAAAGAAGCTGTATTTGTTTAGTTCATCCTGTATATTCAATGCATGTTGAATGAGAAATATGATAAGGAAAATAACAAGAACTAAAAAATAAAGATGCTTTACATCCGGACTTAAGAAAATAAAATTTGGTAGAGTTGAGTTATATCAGAACTCTTATTTAAGCATATTCTTTGAAACTAGAAGAGGGGAAGAACAACATAATTTGTATCAAATTCAATCAGCCCTGTCTTCACCAGAAGTTTTATATCCATGTGGAAAAAGAGTATTTTGGGATAAAATGTATTCAGTGGTTAGGGATATGAACCATATGTAGGGCTCAATCTGTATTACTTGAACATAGATAAAAGAGAGTCATGCTGAATTCATTAAAAGGCCTTGGAGATCATCAACTCTATGGAAGAAATGAACGAGTTCACGCACAAAAGAGTTACTTGACTATTGAACCACCAGAGCAAGGGTTGTTCTGAAATTTTAAAAAATTATTGTACTTGGTTATAGTTTCCATAAAAATATAAAGGCCATCTTACATGGATGGACCTGGAGATTTTCAGGCTAAGTGAAGTAAGTCAGACACAGAAAGAAATATCATGTGTTATCACTTACATGTGGAATCTAAAAAAAAATGATACAAATGAACTTATTTACAAAACAGAAATAGACCCACAGACATAGAAAACAAACTTATGGTTACCAAAGGAGAAAGGGAGGGGTGGAATAAATTGGGAATCTGGGATTAATAGATACATACTACTATACATAAAATGGATAAACAACAAGGATCTACTGTACAGCACAGGGAACTATTATCAATATCTTGTAATAACCTATAATGGAAAAGAATCTGAAAAAGAATATATATATGTAAATCAACTATACTTCAATAAAATACAGTAATAAAATAAAAAGGCCATTTTGTAAAACTGTCCTAAACAGAACTTATTTTTCTAATATGGACTGGACTGAATGTTTCATTCATAATGGGTACAAAAAAAAGATTTCTTTAAAATCATGAGTTTTATATTTCTTAAGTTTTTAATATTTAACGTAATTCCATTTCCTAAAATATTTATAGAACTTTTATATCTGAAAATATTACTTTGGAAAAGTAATCTTTATTTTAGTTCACCTCAATTTTCTTGCACTTATCCCAATTTGAACACTGTTTCCAAGTTCTACTTGTAATCAATTCTACAAATTTAACAAAAAAGTTCCCCTTGCAGCCACTAGATGGAGCCATATGATACCAAATAATATACATCCAGGTCAGGTTATCTGCAAAAAGGAAAAGATGATATAGTACCAATTTTACCCAATTTCCCTTTTTGTATCCAGATAAAAGAAAATGGTTTGTGAACAATTCAAATAATACAATATGAACTGTATGACAAACTTCAAAGAAGCTACTAGACAGGTGCTAAAAACTAGATGCTATGTAAACTGAACCAAACGTGTTCCTGTTGGAAACATTAGATTTTCCTCAGAAGGGAAAGATTCTCCTTTCATATTTTATTATCAGTGTGAAGAAAAAAATAAATTTATAGTAATAGATAATAATGATGTTTGGTAAAATACTTTCCTAAGAAAAAGTAAACACTTTAATGAAAAATAATGAGAACAAAGCTTTAGGCACAAAGTTAACTAATACTAATTAAATGAACAAAAATAATCAACATTATTATAATTGATATTATTTATGGCAAATACATAGTTTCTAGTTGAAAACTTTAAAATTATAACTGGTATAGAGACAACTTGTGAATCAATATTTTGGTACTGTATAGAGCAAAAAATAATATCTGGATAATTCATATTTTCACAGATTAAAAAAAAATTTCATACAAATAGTACAATATGTTTTAGATTTTCAATGATAAGAACAGAACTACTCAAATTTTTAGTTTTCTATGTCTATACAGACATGATATTTAATAAATGTATTAGCTTGGTTACAAAGTTTACTGGTATCTGTTTTGATATTCTGAATATAAACAACCAATTTGACTTGTATGCCATATGTTTCATTGTTATAGCACTGGCTTCTGATGGTAACTGATGTTATGTTAACGTTAGTTGGTTATAATTAAGAAATAAAACACATTTGCAGGGTATTTTGACAGGTGAATGTAACTTATCATTGTCATGTTCAACAATAGTCTCTGTGTACAGATACCAGAAGAGTGCAAACAATTCTGCACTGGAAATCTGGGAAACTAAGCCCCCAGCCCCAAACCTACTGTTTGTGGCAAAACTGTTCGGAATCTCACTGCCTCGGTTATTTGGACAATCAGAGAGGTGTACAAGTGATCTCCTGAGGTTGCCAAGCTTTTCTGTTCTCTCTGCTGCCCTTTTTTTGATTTGTATGTTCTTTGCCTGGAATTCTGCACCTCCCCCCGCTTCCCACTTCACCTCCCACTTACCTGGCCACGGCCCACTTTATCCATGAAGCTTTCCCTGACCGAACTTGTGTTAGTTTAGTAGCTCCTAGTACCACCATAGCCCCCATGCCTATCATATTTCTCATCCTACTATAGTTTGTCTCCTGTGTTTGACATTATTCCTCACTAGAATGCAAACTTCTTGATGTGTCTTATTATATTCTTTTGTCACCAATATCTTGTAGAGCGTCTGGAATACAGAAAATGCTCAATAAGCATTTGTTGAATCAAAGAATGGCATAATGAGTTAATTAACAAGTGAATAAATCTAAAACTTTTAGTGTTCAAATTTAAAAAAACTATGAAATGCAATAAAAACAAAAATCTCAGGATAAGATTCTGATTTTTCAGAAATGCTTCAGGGAGAAAATATCAAAAGAAAGAAAAAACTGTTGGCATTTATATGAATAGCAGAGTTCTTTGATTTTTGTTCCTCAAAAAGCCTATATTTAATAATTTTAATCCAGGAACACAGGGACTCTATCTTCTTCTAGTATTTGTCCCCAATAGTTTCAGCCCCAAAAGACTGTGTCTACTCTCAACTAGTTTGTAGGAAAGAAAATAAAACAATCATTTGACCTTGGCGATACAAAAACAAACCCATTGTAAATAATTCTAAGTTAAAATGCATAAGTAAAATACTTTTCTAC